TTGGACTTACATTATCAAAATACTTTCAAGAAAATGTATGCAGCTAAAATTAACTGCGACCTATCACTATCAATTCGGCATTACCATGAAGGTGTTTGCTTTCTGGGGATTGCATGTAAATTCAGAAATTATTCTTACTGTGCTGTGTGATTTTTATCTGGCTTGGTGGTGCATTGGGTAGAGCGCACAACTGGCGTTGGGAGCGTTGTGAGTTTAAATTCTGGTTGGGGATCAACCGGATCCTCATTGTCTCTGTTAAATACATTGAACGTTCTTGGGAACTGGAAGCCAGCAGTGGTTCTCGTGCCATGTTGACATGAGGACCACCGATGAGAAATAGACACATTTTACGAGGGAGTGGAGACTGAGAATAGGGGAAACGCAGGAGAGGAAGGCAGCTGAAGAGATGCGAGAGATGAAATCAATGAATCCGGAGGCCATTACTGGACAAGAACAATTAAGGAAATAATGTAATGGATGAAAATGAGGGTAGGTCTTTGCCCAAAAGTGTGAAGTTACTGGCTAACAACATTGTGGAGGGACAAGCTACTACCATGGGGAATGTGGAATTACCACCACTGGCTTGGGGACAATCAACAGGAGATGAATGCCCCTCCGTGGTCATTTGAGCAGGAAATAACTTTTGACATTCAACCGTGTGAATGTGCGCAGAGTGAGCGGGCCAACTACGAGCGCTTCAAGCAGTGGCTGCTCGCCAACAAGGAGCTGCTCATCCTCTCGCGTTGGCTGCTGGCGAGCACGGTCAGCGTGACCCTGACGGATGACAGCGACACGCCCACCTTCTACCAGACCCTCGCCGGAGTCACTCACTGTGAGTCTCTCGTACTGCACGCTCGGTGTTACACTTGGCGGTGTGTCAGCGTTGCGCGAGGTGGGACTTAGCTTGGATCCGGAGAGCATCGGTTTGTCCTCGATGCCGCAGGGAAATTCAATGGTGGGGGAGGCACCCCCGGTAAATCCGATTTCTTTACAAAAAACTTCGTTATTTCTCTTGAGCGCCAAAATATTGCCACTTTCAAGCTTGTTATTTTTCTTTTGTGTACTCAATAATTATTCTTATTATTATGAAACACAACCAGTATCTGATATTCGAGTGAAAATCTGCCATTTCGCAGAGGAGTGGAGGAGAAAGTAACTTCAAACACTTCAAATAGAAAGTGTGGTCTAGAGGTGTTATGGAGTTGTACTGTACTATACAGCAGTGACTGTAAAGTTCTAAAGTGGTACTGCCCTGCCCGTGATGTTTCTGTGCGGCGAAGAGTTGGAATTGCTTTGCAGGCTGCTATATGTTTGGGATTCGAAGCGAGATTTTCAATTTCTTTCCTCTTTTTATTTTTAGAGGGTCCTCCAATAAAACTCTTGTCATGTGTGAGACAGTGTATCTGCTCATGTGTTATTTTGAGGACAAACTGTGATAGTCGAGTGAGTGGCAACATAAGCACGGCCGCCACCACTATAATCGTCACGTTTGTTATTCTTTGTATTGTCAGCGACGCCACCATCCCATCACCTTTTCCCATCGCCACTGTCACCGCCCTCACAAACGTCGCACATATCTTCATTCTCGCTGCCATTTTCATCACTGTATTCACCATTACCTCTGGGGCTTTATGTCATTGCACACGAAAGTCCTAAGTTAAATAATGGATCTTAAATTGCATATCTCTTGAGTAAAGTTTCTGTAAAACAATGAACGTGAAAGTCCATGTTTTTTTTTTGCTAATATATGTTGGAAAAAGTGATTTCTGCAGGGCATGAATTAGGCTGCTTGTCTTTTGCTCTCTCCAGCTACACACATCGCAATTGATACTTGCTTGCTTGTATATACACATACATACACAATTATAATAATCACATCTTAATTACTTCCTTCTGAGTTACATTAACACTTGGCAGTTTGTTCCGAACAAAATGCACTCTTGTTTCGTAACACATACTTAATGCGTCATTTTTGAGTGTGTTCCATAAATAAGCTTAAATGGAGATATATATACGTGTGACTGATTTGCATTCCGTACGTTTGTTAATCAGGCATGTTGCAACATATATTGAGAGAGCCTTCAAGTAACTCGCAAGTGTCGGCGTTATTGTCTACAACAAGCCAGCCAAAGTTATTCAGGATGGTCTCTTGACTTTACTCAGTGTGCCGTGCAGTTTAAGTACGAGATAATGTTTAATTGTTTAAATGCGCATAAATGCGCATGTAAGAATATAAAAAAAAGCAATGTACATTTAGGGAGGTCGTATTAGCGGCTGTGACCGCGCAGTTTGAGCTTGCTTGAAAGGCCTCTTTTCTGCAGAACCACTTTTGTCTACCCCTAACTCAGTTGTCAGATTCCAGCCCTCGTGACCCTCCCACTCGGCTGCTGTCAGCTCTGTCTTATCGCCTACATTCATATGTAAACGATGTGTGTGTTCATATGCTAACGACGGAATATGCATATTGTGCACGGTCGTGTTATTGTTCTTTGAAATATGCAGCATAATCGGTCCGGGTGGGGGATTGCAAATCACTGCACTTATTTCTTGTTTGGCCTCTTACTACCCACAAGTGATATATAAATAAAACATCACTATCACTCGCTCTCATCAAACAATATAAATCGTTCGCGCGAGACACTTGGCCGTCTGTCTTACAAGTTACAAAAACAATGGAGAGAATTGCTTTCGTGAACATTTATATCCTGATTGTTCCCAAGATATGGTAATGTTATAAATATAAATAAGTATTAGCTTGTCACAGGATATAAATTGCTGTGCTCTGTTTTCTGCGAAACCCCACTACTGCATTGGTGGTGATAAAATAATAGCCTTGCAAGGGTCCGATTTGCCACATGAAACAAAATAACGTGTTCTTTTGTCTTCCTTTCGGCTTTCTGAATCATTGTTTTTCAACAGGCGTTTTCTTTAGACAGGGATGCTCTCTGGTTAGATTTTTTTACTCTTTTGAGTCTAATCAGCAGTTGCCTTATAAAATGTTGCTGGATTGTCTGATGTTGCAGGCAAGAGTCCTCCACAAACATTCTGGGGCCCATCCGGTAGCACACAGCAAAAGTACACGAGCATTATTGCCGCGCTGTGTTCTCATCCATCCGATAACGTGGATTCTATAGGCTCCACGATACGTGCATTGGATTGTGTACGAATCTGTGCTTTTCGTTTCGTACAGGTTGGCTCGCAAATCCGTTCTTGTGACCCCTGCAGAGCCGCTGGAGGCTGCCGTTATAATTAATCACAACGTAAACAAAAAGATTGATACGTGAACCATGTCACGACCCTTTGATTGTGACGATTCGTCAGATCATTGAGCGGTGAATCGTTGCACCACCGGTTCTCGTGACCATAATTTACTGTCTTTTGAACATCAAATGAGAATCGGTTTGAGGAGTGGATGGTTGATATGTGCAATAAACAAAAATGCAAGCGAGAACAACGAGAAGTATTGCAAATATAATCAAAGAATTATGAGCCAGGGGTGCAGTGGGAGCTACTTGGAGTCTTATTGATGCCACTACCTGCTGGTAAATTTACATGCATTTCAGATGCTTTCATTGGTAGACAGGGGGGGGGGGGTGGGGGGAGTAAATAATTTAGATGTATAGCCAGTAGAGGGGGCATGTCAGCACTTTAACGGTTACCATCATTATCTGTGACGATGTGTTAACGGGAATGAGGAGCACTAATTATCTGGCCTCTCTATTTCATTGCTATGAAGAAAGGGCCATTTTCCATAAATGTCACATTGTTTATGTACTTTCCTTTAAAGCAGTGTTATTGATGAATGTGTTGAATTGTTGTGGTATTTAAGCAGAAGAAGAATGTGTGATCGTATCTGTTTAGACTGCATGATACAGAACATTTCGTAAAAGCATCAGTTCATCAGATAAAATACTAAACGCCTTGAATAGTACGAGTAAGAATATATTATATCTTTACCCATCGGTACATTTACTAATTGTATCACTGTCAATTGACTGAAACATGACACTGAATAATTGCATCCCAACTGCGTATAATTTATTGGTTAGAATTAGGTTTGTTAAACAGCCGTTGAACCAGTAATCATTTACCAATTCTTAAAGTCAAGAATTTAGTGATTCTAGTGGAATTTTAGTAACAAGTGCACTGTTCGGAATGCACGAAATAAACAAACACACGCAAATCGCATTAGGGGTATGTAGCAGCTATCCTAAAGCACCAGCGGGCAGGCCTGAGCCATCGCGTGCTACATTCGCCCTTGTTTCTCAGTTAAAAGGTAAAACTGCAGCCATGCGATTTCTTGCTCGCATCGCTGCCGGTGGACGGGCCTCAAGTAGAAGGGGCGTTCTAGAAGGTGTTTGGCCTACTCTTGCACGCGAACCACCACACTTTTACACTAGCACACCCGACCGGCTGATTGACTTCAATGTCGTGTACCCATTCGTACTGCTTGGTGGAAGGAGGCGCGCCGGGATTGAAGAGATCTCCCGCTTTTGTTTCAACTGCCGTGCCATCCATTGGTCATGGCCATTACCAACACAACACTCACTTAAGCTAAACATTTTCAGTTGATTGCGAGACATTTCTACATGTGTGTGACACAGCGGCAAGCAATGTTTAGCAACAACAATATATATTTTTTAACCTCGTTAACATACGCACGTTGGCGGGGTGGAATTGGCAGGCTGTGTTGCAGTTGAGTGAAAGATTTCTGGCAATGTCTCACTGGCTGATATCTCTTAACAAGCTCCAGCAGGAGTTGCTGAGCTGTGGTTGCCTGCCACAGTGATTATGAACTTCTTTTGCACCGTACGTAGCCAACCGTGCTAATATATGGGTCTCTGTGGGTCTGGGTGTCTATGGATCTCTGTGGTTGCATGTATGTTGAAGTTCTTTCGCACTGTATGTAGGCAACCGTGCTTATCTATGGGTCTCTGTGGTTGCATGTATGTTGAAGTTCTTTCGCACCGTACGTAGGCAACCGTGCTTATCTATGGGTTTCTATGGGTCTGGGTCTCTATGAATCTCTGTGGTTGTATGTATGTTGAAGTTCTTTCGCACCGTACGTAGGCAACCATGCTAATAGGAGGATTAGTGTTATACAAGAGAAAAAAACACATTTAAATTGTATTACATTTTGTTTCCTTACAGCAAAGGGTGCGATAAACACTTACTTTACGATCATATTTAAATCTGATTATTTGCTTACGATAGCAGAACATATATTTTGGTGTTTTTGTCATTTAATCTAGAATCCATTTTTCGTGTTCATTTTCAAAGTCTTTTCTGCCACTAAATGCATTTAGCAATGGAACCAGAAATTACTCCCTTGTCCCAAAATAAGAGGAAGGTGCTGCACGGCACTTGAAGTTAAGTAGAAATTTTATTTTAAATTGAGGCACATTCAAGTCTCATTACATTCAACTTCGACGGTGGGTTCCTTGTTGGAACATAAATTCGGAAAAAATTTAGAATAACTTCATTGAAAAGGTTACAAATGTTTCCACTCAAGATAAATATGAGCAAAATAAAAAATCATATACGGCAAGTTTAGGTTGATAAGATTAACCAGGTAAGAATTCAAGACAACCGGGATGAGTGTTTTGCAGCAGTGACCTGGGTCACAAAAAAGAAAAAGAAAAAACAGATAAAGTCCAGCAATGAAGCAAAACTTTTGAATCTCATGGGAAATCGGAAAACATTTCGCAAACATAAATCATCGTTAGATAATAAAATTATCCCTCTTATCGTGAATCGGCTCAGGCGGATTATTGTTAAAGAGCGGAGATATTTGTTGGAGGGGCACAACTAGAATGCAGGGCGGTTATCGAAGGCGTACCGAGATGAAAATGGTTTTACAGAGGTAGATGAGAGAGGGGGCCACTTTTGTAAATGCGAACTTGGATCATGGTGGAGCAATATGTCAGTTTCTCAAACGAAGAACATTTTTAATCAATATTAATTTCCTGCACCCCCATTTTTGCAGCTTTGATTATTAAGTTTGCCTTTAGTTTTTTTAGTTGTTCATTTACAGGTGTTGTTATGAATGATTTTTGTCGGAAAATATGAGTTGGTTAAGTACTCTCCTTCCTCTGGAGTGAAAATGGGAAGTCAAAAGTGGTTTTCCTGTGGATAGACTGGCTGTTGCTACTGTAATGTTGAAAGTCCACTCCAAGTTCAGAGGTTATCAGTGGAAATTAACATTGTCCCAATACGCATTTGAGCAGCGAGATAATTCTGCTAAGATCTTAACTAACTTGAGATAACTCGAGGCATTTTCATCTAACAACTTTGTTAAGTCAGTCCACTCCAGGTGAGATATTACACAGCACTTGTAGCGGCGAGCCGACAGGCTTTGTGTGGCAATGCACTGTGGATGTTTAGTACAGCATGCACAGCTTATGCTAAACTGTAGAGGCTCTTAAGGGCTCAGGGGGATTTTTTTTTTTATTATGGGGAATATTTTATTATGGGGAATTTCTTATTCCCCATGAGCGAAGACCCTGGGGCCGGCCCAGGACACGCTGGCGGGACAATGTCGCTCAGCTGGCCTGGGAACGCCTGGGAATTCCCCAGGAAGAGCTAGTCTTTGGCCAGGGAAAGGGACGTCTGGACCACCCGACTCAACATGCTACCGCAGTGACCCTCACCAGGACAAGCGGACTGAGTAACGAACGAACGAAACAAATGCAGAATAATGATATTTCACCATAAGCATTAGCACCCCATTTTTAAGCAGGTGCACTTCATTGTGATGTGGCCGTGTCTTTTGTTGAAGCCAGTTAATGCACTCGTTTGTGAGTTTCGCTTTCCGTTAAAACCATCCCCCTGGGCCTCGTGGTTATGCGATTTATTTTTTCATCGCCCCGTTGCATTACGCCCGGTCACGGTACAGTGTGAGCCTTAAGAACCCTGGACAGCATCGGCAAAGCCTTTTTCTCTCCCGGGCATATAGGCAATCAGCAGGCGGTCCCCCGTCATATAATCTGATTCTCGCTGGCTTTATTGATTTGTAGTAATTCTTCCACTGGTTGGATTATCGGTCCGGGCGGAGCAGCTTCCAGGGTACATCCTGGCTTTTTCTAAGCGCCGTCTCTTTGCATGCATGCGCTTGCAGCGCACATGCAAGCAAGCCCCCCCCCCATCTCCCTCAAACGACAGGAATTCCCACACTCGCCGCTGCTTCTGCCGCCGCTGCTGTGGCATACATCCCTCGTGGTGTAATTGCGTTGAAGTAATTGGCCCATGTGCCTCTGCGTGTGGCCATGCCTCGCCTCCGAGCACCGCAAGCAGTTCCAGCTTGTTGTCTGTCTGTCCGACTAACGTGTAACGCCTGTGGTGTCTTCGCGGTCCAAAGGGGGGGGAGGGGGGGGGGGGGGGTAGTGATAATGCGGGCAAATTTAACAGTCGTTTATTGATCGCTGACAGGTTGGGCTGTTATTGCAAACCTTTTAGAAACCTATTAGAAACGTGTTTACACAATTCGTACGGCGTTCTTCAAAAGTGTTTCTTTTCGTTGTGCCCCGAAGAGTCACTCTCACGCGCAATGTTCGTCAAACTTCCGGGAATGACGGTGGTGCGATCGCTCAAGGGGATTTAGCGGACGGTCAGCATCGGCCGGCGCGCGGACGAGTAAGCGCATCTGGCGCCGCGCTCTGCTAGTGCCGCGCGTGTGGGCCGCTCGGGAGGATGCATGGGCTCGAGCCCAGGAAAGGATGCGGGTTGGCGAGACCCCGACCGGCACAAACGCCTGTTGTGCTGCTCTGCGTGGCGCGTCGTGCCAGCAGGTAGGGACCACCTCCCCTGTGCCTCCCTGCTGGTTTCCTTCCTTGCATGCCAGTCCCTTCGTTCCACCTGCTCCTGTGTGCATTGATCTGCCCAGACTGCACCTTTTCTTACGAATGCCCAGTCGAAGCGTAGCACATTTCTAGCACAGCGGCTGTTGCCAATATCGTTGCTCCCTTTGTCGCTCTGTGGACGTTCAAATCCGCGAGAGCTGCTCTGTTTGTTGCTTCGTTATCTTTGAGATGAGGCTGCACGATGCGTCTTCAGTTTCAAGGGGGAATTTGCAGTTGTCGGTGTGAGTGAATCCTCCTGGTTTTAGAGGGTGCCACTTTGAGCGCGAATCACTGTGTCATGCTGAAATAATATTTCGTGTGAACACCTTTTAAGCGAACGCATTTTTAAAAATGTAACTTGGGAAATTTACAGTTTTTCCCCTTTGAAGACTTTCCTTTTAAATGGCAGTCTGATTAATGAGATTATAAGGTTCTGAAACAAAACCAGGCTTTACGAAAGATCTTTCATTTTGTTGAAATCTTTATTCTCCAAAGGATGGTTAATCGAGATTAATGACTTTTGTCTTGGTGATGGCATAAACACGGCAATACATGAATATCACTTAAAACACGTTTTTTTCTTTTGAAATTTGATATATGGGTGTGCCTGTGGTTATAGTTATAGTTGTTTTTCAAAGGATACTACTGTTAAAGATTAAATAAAATAAAACTAAACACATTCATCAATAACACTGTGGCATATTCTTGGTTCTTTCGGTAAAGTCACGTAGAAGGGAAACAATAAAATAATAAAAATATAAAACAATAAAATTCTCACGACGTTTCGACTGCAACACAAGCAATCATCAAACGTCGTGAGAATTTTAGGACAATGCATATATTATCATAGTATGTTTTTTGTTTGCATTTTGACTGCAGGTATTGTGGTTAATGCAGACATGAATCCTTGTAAAAAGGTTTCAGTTTTGTTTGCCAGAAAAAAGGGGAAAAACCCTATTATTACATTTAGGTACTGGAAAAGGAGGTCTAATGAGAATGAGAATAAAATAATAAAAATAATTGTGAGAATATTATTGTGTTATTTTATTTTATCAATTTATTATTTTATTCTCATTCTACGTGACTTTACCGAAAGAACCAAAGAGGGCAATGCATATATTATCATAGTATGTTATTTGTTTGCATTTTTACTGCAGGTATTGTGGTTAATGCAGACATGATCCTCGTAAAAAGGTTTCAGTTTTGTTGCCAGAATAAAAAGGGGAAAAATATTACTACATTTAGGTACTGGCAAAGGAGGTCTAATGATGAGAATTTTATTGTTTTATATTTTTATTATTTTATTGTTTCCCTTCTACGTGACTTTACCGAAAGAACCAAGAATATGAATCCCTGCAGTCACGAAAGCTTTACATAAAAAAAACACACTGTGGCCTTAAAGGAAAAACATAATAGGCACATTTTCTGCAGTGACCCTTTTTTATATGCTCTGCAGAAGGGCAATTGCACGCAACATTGGCTATTATATATTTTTACTTTTAAAGTCTACGGTGTTATTGATGAATGTTGTGAACTTTACTGCTAATTCTGCTCAAGGCCGTAATTATAATATATATTGGGGGACACGCATCCCACCCAATATTCAAATATGCTCAAAATGTCCCCCCCCCAATATATTGGTATAAACATTTTTAAAAAAAATATTTTAAAAAATAATATGTAAAAAACAACAATTTGCTTAACCTTGGCCACAATATCTGGACTTGTCTTCATATACAGTGAGGGAAAAAAGTATTTGATCCCCTGCTGATTTTGTACGTTTGCCCACTGACAAAGGAATGATCAGTCTATAATTTTAATGGTAGGTTTATTTGAGCAGTGAGAGACAGAATAACAACAACAAAATCCAGAAAAACGCACGTCAAAAATGTTATAAATTGATTTGCATTTTAATGAGGGAAATAAGTATTTGACCCCTCTGCAAAACATGACTTAGTACTTGGTGGCAAAACCCTTGTTGGCAATCAGAGAGGCCAGACGTTTCTTGTAGTTGGCCACCACCTTTGCACACATCTCAGGAGGGATTTTGTCCCACTCCTCTTTGAAGATCTTCTCCAAGTCATTTATGAATCCCTAATCTCCGCCATTACGTACAATGAAATAAGAAAAGGTAAAAAAGAACAGCAATATAATACAATTCACTATTAGACATTATTGTAACAAAATAAATTAAAAGTCCATCCCAGTGGTTAGTGAATTTTTGTAATATTTTAGGCAGGAAATGACAGGAAATTAGTTTTCAAATTTATATATTTTTTCTGAGGGGGGACCCCAGACCCCCTGGAGGATTTGTTCCCCCCCAATGTTGACTCCATGGCTACGGCCTTGATTCTGCTTATGCACTTCTATCAATGCAGCATCACCAAATTATTTTCTTTTAGGAGATAAATTGGTATCTTTAATGGCTAAAAATAAATAATATGTTACTTCTAATGGCAGATAAAGCTTTAAGTGAGTAGCCTACTTTGGGAACCATCCAGGGCAGTTAGGCCTCTGGGCAATCGGTGATCACCATTACCCCGCCAGACTTGCCTGTCTGTGTTGGAAGAGTCCCTTACTGTGAGACAATCCACTTCTAAATTCAATTTAAATGTGCCGATTTCATCCCAGTTAATTTCACTTGCCACATTATCAGAAAAAAAAACTAATGATAAATATTATTCGTGTCTTCGTAAAACTCGTACGCTCGTGTGTAATGCTAGCAATTGTAGGATCAAAAAATAAAATGAAAGGAAATTGCCTATTTGTTTTTTCTCGTATTTTGGTCACAGTAATGTGAAAACTGTCACACGGTGACCTACGCTCGTGAATGATGATGTCCCTGGGTCATAAATGTTGACTTTGCTCTTTCCAGCAGAAGTGGAACTGCCAACCGCGTGCAGCAGAGCAAAGGTTGCGAGCCCACTTGGCGGGGCATTCGAGCGTCGCGAAAAGTTTAACTTGTCAAATTTATCCCAGTTCATAAAAAAAAAACTTTTAATTATTTTTAATTATAAGCATATTTATTCGATCTCTGTTGAATGCATTTGATGTATATTCATACTTTACATTTGCCCCATTTGTTTGTGCGCTGCTGCCTATAATGGGCTTGCATTAATTCCCATACAGAACTTGCAATGAGCTGTCTGTTATCCAGGGTAATGGCGTGGTGGGGTGGCCCAGATAAAACAGAAACACGGATTGTAATAAGAAAAATGTAAATTAGCTAAAAATCAATTATTTGTTGTTCACTTGCGTAGAAGGGGGTGAAGACATATAACGTGCAATCTATTAGTATTGCCGCCTAAAATGATAAAATAATAAGTGCGACTTGCCGACAGTTTTTGCAGCTGTGTGAGTCGCTGACCCCTCGGCGACGAGGGGGGGGGGGAGCAGCTACGAGTTGAAACGGCGCACACGTTTAAAAGGTTACGTTCGTTTAATTGCACGCACGGTTAATCCGCGAGTCGGATGATCCGCCGCTTATCATATTTTAGAGAGTTAATCAGAATGGAATAGCAGCGGCCAAGTTGCATAGAAAACATCTTCGGCGCAGATTCCTCCGTAGGCGTTTAAAAATCGCGATACGTGGGGTGGGAAACAAATCATCCGGGCGCCGTTACGCAAAACCGGCCACGCCGTTTAAAATTATCCGCGTGCTTTTTGAACAGTTCAGAAATAGAGCATAGCAAACTGTATTTCTGTTAAGCTGTTTTAATTATACTTTTTTTTATTACGCATTGTGGAGCGCGCACCTCCTGAGTATTGTTTGGTAAATACAGCGTAGTAACGCACGCTCTCCATAGCGGTGGTTAAGTGCTTCTCTGTCCCCTCTGATATGTTTAGCATGCCTTGGCAGTTTAGTCGGTGTCTGAGTGCCTCTCGGGGGCTCTTGCCTTCACAATGTGCTAATTAGGGTCCTGGAAACAGTCGTTCTGCTGCCAAATTACCTCCACCGCGTTCACTGGGCTCCATTGTCCCAGTGTTAGCCCCTTTGCACATGACACCTGAAGCCTTGCACAACCTCCTTTTATGTCAAAAATAAATGAATAAAACGGTCGAATAAATATGGGGAGTGCATTGACGGTGGTGTTGCTAGCCCACGCAAAATCATGTCGCCACCTTTGGCATTATCGTTGCCTTTTCGCAGGAAAAAAAAAATAGTGGGCTGACGTTTCGGGTACAGGCCCTTCTTCAGAGCAGAAGGGGCAGGAAGATTGGCCGCAGTGTAATGGGAAACAGTTCATGCGTGGAGTAAAAATTGTTAGTGAACTGATTTCAAATTTCCAGTGGTTGACAAGTGGCGCACTGTAAAATGAAATCTCCAGTTATCGGTGTTCCAATTTTTCTGCCCTTTCCGCCATCACCAATCACCAGCAGTATTTTTTAAAGTTCTGTCTCCAACAGGTCGATCTTTCTGCCTTTTTTTCTGCAGGACCATTTCGCAAAATGTCAAAATGTTAAAATGCCGTGTGTATATATTTGTCTGGGTTAAGGTGGGTCAGGATGAGCTTCAGGTGTCATTTTATTGGAAATTGGATTTTTAGGCCCAGTTTAATATTTAATTTGATATTTTTCCCCAAAAAATTATTTCAACATCAACTTTTGCATCATTTTGCGCTGAATGTCAATTTTTTTCGACTTATAATTTAATATTTAAAAAAAAAATCCGTAACATTTCATTGGCACAATTTGTTAAAATCATTTTCATATGAAGAACCTGCTCCAATAATTTGAGCCAAAATGCACGTGACACGTTATCAAAGTGTCATTTGCCTGACGTAACTTTTGTCAGGAAAAAGCGCGGAAGAGAGGTTTACCGTGGTAGCGGCTCGGTAGCAATTTCCTGTGCTCTTTCCAACAAGGATGCCGTCACGTGATGTAATTTTTTTGACGAAGACTTGACGAGTCTGTGGAATATATTCACTGCACACAGACGATGGTGCGGT